ATGGTAGTGCATGTCATATAGATGGATGTTTATTTTTGACAAGACGAATAGAGTGACTGTACATGTTGTAAGCTAAATGCCTGCCACTTATATCCCCCTTTTGATCAATGAAATATATATTATTATAACTGTTTACACGGCTTTATTAACTGAACCAATCATCACTTGACAATACATTTGTAACACATATTTTCATATGTACAGAAAACTCATTTAGCTTAAACGGCCCGTTGCTAATTGTTTGTCATAAAGACAACACATGATTAACAATGTTTTGACAGTGCTAAGCGTCAATCAACACGTGGCACATTTAACAAACGAAGTACTCACTCACAAACAGCTGTAAAACTGTGTTTTATTTTTAAAAGTCAGGTGTTAAGTGTCCATTCCCAAATGGAAACAATGTTTTAACCCAGAAATCTGTACATAAATCTTAGTGTGAAACCAACAAACAAACAACCAAAATTGTCAAGGCTTTAAAATCAACACACATTACAGCACAGCAATTGCAGTACACAATAAAGTGGTAGTACAATATTCAATGGTAGTGAACAGTACTAAATACAAAAGCAATATTCAGTGATAGTCAATAATAGTATATTCACCCAGCGGCGTCCGCGGTCAGGCATCCGATATGGGCATAGGCAGGAAAACCGGGGTCAGCTTTCTTACACGAAAGTTGGTCTTTATGTTTTTCAGAAGCACACGTGTGATGAAATGCGAGAGGCATGCTCGTGGCCTCTTACATACCGTCTTATCAGCTTCCAGAAATTTCTACAGTGCTGTTGTTTGTTTGTTGGATGGTTGTTTTTTTAACATCGCACATTCCAGCTATATGACGGCGGTCTGTAAATAATCGAGTCTGGACCAGACAATCCATTGATTGATAGCATGAGCATCGATCCACGCAATTAGGATCGATGACATGCTTCAACCAATTCAGCGAGACTGACCACCCGATCCCGTTAGTCGCCTCTTACGACACAGTGCTGTAAGGCTCTATACAATGCTGGACGGGTCTCGCCGTTTCCGAAAGTTACTACACCACATTATCTAAATATAGTAACTTCTTCACGACAAATCATTGTCAAAATACAATGCAATTAGCGTCTACCGAATTGCAACAGAAACAATATAACACAGATACAATCATTGTTCAACAATAAGACGTACTGCCATTTGACACAGGATACCGTTTAACACCAGATGGTGTTCCCAAGCTGTCCGTGTTGACATCGGACTGATGTCTTCCTCGCTTTCCTAGGTGCTGCCAAGACTATTTTGACTATCCACTATTTCATATCGATATGGACAGATTTTTGAAAGGACAAGAACTCAACGTTTTCAGCGATGGCGTTGCAGGTGATGCCATGGCGGACGCTTGTAATCTACCAATTCAGAAACAGTGAACTTCTGCAAGTCAACTCTCCACTATGACTTTACGTCACGTGATGACAGTTCTGCTCTTTAACTCTCGGTAGTTACCGGAATACGAGTAGGTTTTAACAATTGTTAACGCTTGCCTTTAGAACCTTTTCTTTCTAGATACGTGTTATAATATGCTTTATAAATGATATAATCACATATTTTTTATACTTTACTGTAAATCTCCTATAAATATCAAAAACCCAATGTGCAGTTGCGTATATCTTATCAAATTCAACAAAGCGCCCATGAATGTTATTTTGAAACTCATTTGTCACGCCCATTTACGCGCACCTGTTGTGAAGGGTGATCGTTGCCGATCGACGATATAAATCTAAAGACGTAATGCGTGGGACACAGTTCTTATAGTGAGGGAAAATAAAATCACCAGCATGGACTTCACAGAAACATGAATCATTTACCGTTATATTCAACGTCGCACCAAATGACCATCCTTATATATCAATAAAGGTTCAAGTAACAGATAATGAGAAACTTGCCTGTGGCGTGTTGATTATCCCCATCGTTTCTGTTGTTATTTCTTATTAGTGGTGATTACTCATACTATTCTGGATGTTACAGGCGAAGCATTTCAAACTTTACTGTTATTGTTTTGTTACGCAAGATTGTCAGCGGACTACCCATGTTTGTGATATCACATCCGGTGACCTTATTTTTGTATATCGAAAATATTCAACCAAAACACATTTTGGATCAATGAATATTTATAAATCGTTAATTGTATCCTGCAAATCTTATAACATGACTCGTTAAATTTACCCTTATGTTCTAATTTCTGCAACTGACATAATGACCACGAAACCTAAGGATGATATGTTTACATAATTTACCATCGCACCATTGTTTTCCGATAAAAAAGCGAATTTAAGATATCACAGTAAGCACAAATTTAACGATTTATACAGGTTCCTAATATGAAGAGCATTCCACATTCAAACATTCATGTATGTTTAAGACAATTTACAATTTATGTGTTTAGACATAGACATATATGTATTTGATTAATGTAAGGCCACAGGCCCACAATGCATTTCAATAGTTTGTGTATTTTTCCCAAGCATGCTGGGATATGAGCAGTTAGTACAATATGTTCCCAACGTTATTGCAGCAATACTGTTCACATTAATACAGTATTATATTGATAATACAGGGGATTGTAGTCACGAAAGTAATGATGAATTTCCTATTATTCACTTAACACATTTGAAGGCTCCTGGGAACGGTTTGATGTAATATAAGATGGAACACATTTTTGCAGTACAGATTTACAAGATTTACAGACCTTTTTGTATACTACTGTATACTAGCAGTTGGAACAGTATGTTTCAGAGGTTCAGCAATAATGTTCACATTATTACAGTATTAAATTTATAATCCAAGAGATCAGCAGAATGATAGTTACAAAAGTAAAGATGAATTTCTTTTTTTTGTTGCACTTTTCACAATTATCGCCCATGACACTGCAGCATATTTGTGTTTTCACAAGCCATTAATATAATAAAAGCTTCCGGTAAACGGTTTGATGTAATATATGATCGAAAACATTCTTGACATAGAGATGCAAAGAATTTCCAGACCATAATAGCATAGACTCATCCTCAACATATGACACGAGTTATGTGAATGACAATGTAAGCATAGCCTATTAGCAAGGGTAGTACAATGTCTTCCTGTTTCTAGAACCAATCTAAAATTATTACACCTAAACCTACTTATAACATGTTATAACATAAAATACTGTTATGTCAGAAGAAAGCTGCATTTCGACGATTAGCATTGATTGGTATTGTCCAAATGACTAACATTTGGAAGATACTTCTATAGCGTTATGCCAATCTTAATCCAGCAGGTGGGGTTAAGGAGTGAGAAAACAATTTAACAGGCTAAACGTAATGTGTAATGCTTCGAGTTAAAGTGTAATGCTACGAAACCACGGAGATGTGTCGAATGATTGGGCAATCAAGGAAAAGTGCTTGTGTGTCTGCTTCCGTTTGTAATGCAAACACATTTCTAGTTTCAAAGTGTCTGGAGAGGGTGAATACATACACTATGGTGAGGTATGAGCGTTATGACATTTATTGCGATTGGGAGATGCTATGAAGGCATGCAAAAAGTAGGTCAGCGTGTGATTTATGATTACTGGTCGACAAATGTGTTTTCATCCGTGCATTATTCATATTTTATGAGAACCTTGATTGACAGATTGTTCCTTATATTGGTGTTGAAATACCGATGTCATTTTGTTAGCTTTAAATTTGTGGTAGTTTCAAACTGATTAACATATTGGGTAGATTATTTAGAAATGAAGATGGTATCAAAAAATGTAATTCGTTATGAATATTGTCACGAGGTGATTACCAAATTGTAATGCAAAGGGTAACAAAGGAAATGCTTCACATAGAGCTAAAAATGAAAAGTGAAATCAGTAAATAACCACAAAAGATCTATGAATGAGTGGTTACATTGAAATACACTTTTAAGGATACAATCACAAAAGGCAATCATATGGGTCAAATGAGTGGCAGAAGCAATAAGTAAAAGCACAATAATACATAAACACGTAAGTCGGTGCACCGGTCCAGAATTTGCCACTGTTGAATGCCTAGAAAGAGGAATGTGCTCCGTTCCTAACTTCGGAATAGCATTGGGAGCTATCGGGAAATCTCTCTCTTATTTAGGTACAGACATCTTTCTACAAACTATCACATCACAAAACTTCTCGAGCAATGTGGTCTGTCCTGTTTCTTTACAACCAAGGCCATTTAACTCTAACCTATACTTCAAGTGCTACCACAACACTCGATATTTCATGGGGAACTCCGTCACTTGGTGCCAGCGACAGTTGCCACAAATAAACTGACACATAACAATACTTCTTGTTTTATTTATTAGACGTCATCAGATTAACAGTGGATATACCGACAGCTGGCGTCCATGAGTGTGATAAACCTAATGAAGGTGGGTGTAAAATAATGCACGAGAATGATAAAGATTATAACACCGCTATTTTGGCTTTTACGCCTAAAGGAAGCTGTTGGGAATCGAGACGGGTTATTTTCTGGCGTTGATGTAGAACAGTTGTCTTATCAAACTGATCGTTGAATATAATTTGACTGAATATCATTTCATTTTAGTCATGGTAAGTGGAACAAAATGGATAATGTTATTGTACGCCGTTTTCATCAATAATTCTGCTAATAATAGATAATATAAATGTTACGTACATATTTTCTAATTGAATATTTACATTATCTTGAAACGTCTGTATTGCATAGTTGTACATGAACATGTATGCTGTCTATCCACAGCTGTATTCTACATAACTGGAGATAATGGACGATTACTAAGGGTAGATTTCAATGACAACCCTTCATGGCTGTTTGAGACACAATGGGACTGTCACACTGAACCAGGGAAATGCTACCTGCAGATGTCTGAAAACCTCTATGACCATGTATGCGAGTTGAAGTGTGCTAATGTCAACTTGGTGACTTTAGACAGCTCAAGTTTGATGTTAATCTTTGGTCATGAAACACGTGGATACGCTTTCGAGAAGGCTAATACATTTACTGTGGTAAATCACACCATTGAAAAGTTTCTGAAGGAGATTGATTCAAAAGTTGAATTTATCAAGACGGATGTAAAAGTGCAGCCAAGAAGACTGATAGATGGAGCAGCAACAGAACGTAAAAATGTCACAGGTATGTCACCTTACACGTAAAGACGAATCATTAACCTAAAGACTGAAGTGTATTTTAGTGGCATCGTATTGTGGTAACTGCCTATCGAATTCCTTCCAGGTCATGGTGTACTTAATCCTTTCAACATGGTATTCCATATTGAAGATATTACTTCTTCAAAAAATATAATATTATGTGTAAATGCTCAAGGAAGTATAACCTTTATGATGAGTTATCCAATTTATAATTTTGTTGTATGCTGATAGAATGGTGTCCCGTGGCCTTAAATTAGGGGTGCTGGTCTTTGCTAAACGTGGATTCAATTCCACATGTTTACATTATCCCTTACTCAATTTTCACCACTGTGTTGCCTTTTATATCCAAGGAATCTGTTTCAGCGGATACTCGAGACTGGTTTTTCCCTGGCGAAGACGTTTTATATTTAGAGGTGTGTCATTTACTTTAACACTTAAATAGTCACTGAAAGTATCCAAATTAACCATTTATTTTTAATTTCAGGAAGTCAACTGGAGGAAAAGCACAAAGAAGTACCTCAATTTGGAGCCGATGCTTCTAAATCATCAAGTATTTATGAAAAAAAGCACCTTTATATCGACCTAGCTTATAATACCTACTGCTCTTATCATGTGTATCGCTATATGGCTGAATTAAATGCCGATGCGACGTTCAATTTTAACTCACTCATCAAGTGTAATTGATAAAATTGACACACTTGATTTGAGGCCCCTACTAGTAACACACTAGTAACTAACGTAAATAACTTGCCTGTTGTGTTATAGAAGGGAACACAATGTAACAATGATATGAGATTAATGTTTGTCATAAAAATCGGACCATACATATCGTTGCCCATGTGTGTATATCTACTTTTTAGTGTTGTTTGATCACTTTTTGTATAGCCTAGCACACTCCCATGATTTATGTCATTTCAAGTTCTATGTAGTTACATCTCCATTTTTCACAGGTGCTTTACAATTTGTCAAAAATGAAAGCAATTGCCATCTGAAGTTTTCTGAGTAAACAATATGTGAATTGCTGCTCTTCTTCATAAATGACATCTGCGGTGAATTTGTGGATAGGACATTTAGGCAAGAAGGAGGCATCCACAGGGATAATTATATTTAATAAATTATAGCTTTGTTGGTGAACGTCCGACAGCTGAACCATCTGAAATGTGTGTGTGACTGTTGGTGTTCTATTTCTCCCTGCTTGGATACATGTGTCTCTGTCTCTCTGGTGTCCAATAATTTATTTTTCGGATACAAATAAGTTTTTCGTTTATTTACAGTCAGTAGATCTATAACAGGACTACAAGGCAGCTCCAAGGTCACACATTCAAACATAACCGGACTACACAAAGGTAGACGTATATACCTTCTACAAAAATAAATGCTACAAAATTAAATCACTGTTTGTCTAAAATTTTAGGCAAGGCATAATGCTTTACACATAATTAAAGACAGTTTTTTTCTTTGAAGGTAATACATACAATAACTGTATGTTTGTGACAGCAAGCGAGTGGAGCATCACAGGTATGCTGAAACGAGTTGTATCTAAACTGTTTCAACTACGCATCAAAGATTTTACCTTCTTTAAGGACGAGATGGAAGAATGTTACGATGCTACACTCCAAGAAATAACACAAGGATGTCTGATATTTCACTTTGCACACAAGTCGAGGGGAGATGCTTTGAAAATGATAATCAAACACAAGCAGGTGAAAGAACAAATTCTACACTTTCTCCGTAATTTTGATGCGGAACTGACAGATATTTGGATGCAGGTGAAGTTGTGTCAACCCTCTGGTCACAAGTTAGGTAAGTGTATTTGAAGTGTTTACTATTCGTTCTGCAAGAAAGGATCATAGACATAAAACTGTTATAGTCTGAACAAAATAGTCCAATGAAATTTAATATCATATTTATTGAATCTAGTTTGCCTTTTTTCAAATATTCAAACTACATAAGTAATTGATGGTCCGGTTAATACGACAAACGGAAATACCCGAGGCAGGACATACTCTTTCACAGCGATGAGCATGTTTGTTGGGGTTGCTGATGTTTCTATAGACAATTAAACAGCTTGAGTATGTTAGCAACAGCTTGTGTGATTTAACACTAACTTTACGCTTTCAAACAAACTTGTAATTACTTATATGTGCCAACTTTAACTTTTATCAGACGTAAAACAAACAAATAGAAGAGACATCGGTATTTATTCCTGACTGTCCAGATAGTTATATGAATATCTGTAGAGTACCTGTTGAGCAAGTGTCTTGTTACATCAGGCGAAGTTGCTAGTTGCTTGGCAACGTCAGTGTGAGAGCACCTACCCACAACGATCGTACATTCAGCTGTACTACCCACAAGGGTCGTGTAGTCTGAATTCATTCAGCTGTACAACCCACAAGGGTCGTGTAGTGTTAACGCATTAAATTGTACTTACCAACAGGGTCCCGTAGTGTGAACACATTGAGCTGTACTACCCACAAGGGTCGTATGGTCTAAACACATTAAGCTGTACAACCCACAAGGGTCGTATGGTCTGAACACATAAAGCTGTACAACCCACAAGGGTCGTGTTGTCTGAACACATTAAACTGTACTACCCACAAGGCTCGTCTAGTCTGAACACATTAAGCTGTATTACCCACAAGGGTCGTCTAGTCTGAACACATTAAGCTGTACTACCCACAAGGGTCGTGTAGCCTGAACACATTAAGCTGTTATACCCAAAAGGGTCTTGTAGCCTGAACACATTAACCTGTACTACCCACAAGAGTCGTGTAGCCTGAAGACATTAGGCTGTACTACCCACAAGGGTTTTTGTAATCAGAACACATTAAGCTGTACTACCCACAAGGGTCTTGTAGTCAGAACACTATAAGCTGTACTACCCACAAGGGTCTTGTAGTCAGAACACTATAAGCTGTACTACCCACGAGGCTCGTGTAGCCGCAACACATTAAGCTGTACTACCAGCAATGGTCGTGTAGTCAGAACACATTAAGCTGTACTACCGACAAGGGTCTTGTAGTCATAACACAGAAAGCTGTGCTACCCACTACCTACAAGGGTCGTGTAGCCTGAACACATTAAGCTGTAATACCCACAAGGGTCGTGTAGCCTGAAGACATTAGGCTGTACTACCCACAAGGGTTTTTGTAATCAGAACACATTAAGCTGTACTCCCCACAAGGGTCTTGTAGCCTGAAGACATTAGGCTGTACTACCCACAAGGGTTTTTGTAATCAGAACAAATTAAGCTGTACTACCGACAAGGGTTTTGTAGTCAGAACACAGAAAGCTGTGCTACCCACAAGGGTTGTGTAGTCAGAACAAATTAAACTGTACTACCCACAAGGGTCGTGTAGTCAGAATACATTAAGCTGTACTACCCACGAGGCTCGTGTAGCCTTAACACGTTAAGCTGATTAAACACAAGGCTCGTGTAGCCTGAACACATCAAGCTGTACTGCCTACAAGGGTCTTGTAGTCTTAACACATTAAGCTGTACTACCCACAATGGTCGTGTAGTGTGAACCCTATAAGCTGTACTACCCACAAGGGTCGTGCAGTGTGAACCATATACGCTGTATTACCCACAAGGGTCGTGTAGTCAGAACACATTAAGCTGTTCTACCCACGAGGCTCGTGTAGCCTTAACACATTAACCTGTATTACCCACAAGGGTCGTGTAGTGTGAACCCGATAAGCTGTACTATACACGAGGCTCGTGTAGCCTTAACACATTAAGCTGTACTACCCATGAGACTCGTGTAGCCTGAACAGATTAAGCTGTACTGCCCACAAGGGTCGGGTAGCCTGAATACATTCAACTGTACTACCCTCAAGGATCTTGTAGGCAAGACACAGTGTCAGAAAATGTGTGTTCGAGGTGCTGATATGTATTTAAAATATTAAACTGCTTGCTTTTGTTACCATAAGAACACTTAATACACCATATTTATGTAGTTGTGAGTTGCTTGGCAACATTAGTTCTATAGAACCTACCCACAAGGGTCGGGTGGCCTGAATACATTAAACTGTATTACCCACAAGGGTCGTGTAGTCAGAACACATTAAACTGTGCCTCCCACGACGTTCGTGTAACCTCAACACATTAAGCTGTATTACCCACAAGGGTCATGTAGTGTGAAGACTATAAGCTGTACTTGTAGTCTGAATACATTAAACTGTACTAACCACAATGGTTTTGTAGTCTTAATAAATTAAACTGTACTACCCACAAGGGTCTTGTAGTCTGAATACATTAAACTGTGCTACCCACGAGGCTCGTGTTGCCTTAACACATGAAACTGTACTACCCACAAGGGTCTTCTTGCCAGAACACATAAAGCTGTAATACCCCCAATGGTCGTGTAGCCTGAACACACTAAACTGTGTTACCCACAAGGGTCGTGTAGCCTGAATGCATTAAACTGTACTACCCACAAGGGTCATGTAGTGTGAACACATTAAACTGTACTACCCACAAGGGGTTTGTAGTCTGAATACATTAAACTGTGCTACCCACCCACGAGGCTCGTGTAGCCTTAACACATCAAACTGTACTACCCATAAGGGTCTTGTAGGCAGAATACATTAACCTGTACTTCCCACAAGGGTCTTGTAGTCTGAATACATTAAACTGTACTAACCACAATGGGTCCTACTAGGGTCTTTTTGTCAGAACACATAAAGCTGTAATACCCACAAGGATCGTGTAGCCTGAACACACTAAACTGTATTACCCACAAAGGTCGTGTAGTGTGAACACCATCAGCCGCACTACCCACAAGGGTCATGTAGTGTGTACCCTATAAGCTGTACTACCCACGAGGCTCGTGTAACCTTAACACATTAATCTGTACTACCCACAAGGGTCGTGTAGCCTGAACACATTAAGCTGTACTACCAACAAGGGCCTTGTAGTCAGAACACTTTAAGATGTACTACCCACAAGGGTTGTGTAGTGTGAACCCTATAAACTGTACTACCCAGACTGGTCGTGTAGTCAGAGCAAATTAAACTGTACTACCCACAAGACACGTGTAGTCAGAACACTTTAAGCTGTACTACCCACGAGGGCCTTGTAGTCAGAACACTTTAAGCTGTACTACCGACAAGGGTCTTGTAGTCAGAACACAGAAAGCTGTACTACCCACAAGGGTTGTGTAGTGTGAACCCTCTTAGCTGTACTACCTACAAGGGTCTTTTTGTCAGAACACATAAAGCTGTCATACCCACAAGGGTCGTGTAGCCTGAATACATTAAACTGTAGTACCCACAAGGGCCTTGTAGTCAGAACATTTTAAAATGTACTGCCCACGAGGGTCGTGTAGTGTGAACCCTATAAACTGTACTACCTAGACTGGTCGTGTAGTCAGAGCAAATTAAACTGTACTACCCACAAGACTCGTGTAGTCAGAACACTATAAGCTGTACTACCCACGCGGCTCGTGTAGCCTCAACACATTAAGCTGTATTTCCCACAATGGTCGTGTAGTCAGAACAAATTAAGCTGTACTACCGCCAAGGGTTTTTGTAATCAGAACACATTAAGCTGTACTACCAAAAAGGGTCTTGTAGCCTGAACACATTAAGCTGTACTACCCGCAAGGGTCTTGTAGTCAGAACACTATAAGCTGTACTACCCACGAGGCTCGTGTAGCCGCAACACATTAAGCTGTACTACCAGCAATAATCGTGTAGTCAGAACAAGTGGAGCTGTACTACCCACAAGGGTCTTGTAGTCATAACACAGAAAGCTGTGCTACCCATAAGGGTTGTGTAGTGTGATACCTATTAGCTTTACTACCCACAAGGGTCGTGTAGCCTGAACACATTAAGCTGTAATACCCACAAAAGTCGTGTAGCCTGAAGACATTAGGCTGTACTACCCACAAGGGTTTTTGTAATCAGAACACATTAAGCTGTACTCCCCACAAGGGTCTTGTAGCCTGATCACATTAAGCTGTATTACCCACAAGGGTCGTGTAGTCAGAACGCATTAAGCTGTTCTACCCACGAGGCTCGTGTAGCCTTAACACAATAACCTGTATTACCCACAAGGGTCGTGTAGTTTGAACCCTATAAGCTGTACTATACACGAGGCTCGTGTAGCCTTAACACATTAAGCTGTACTACCCATGAGACTCGTGTAGCTCATGAACACATTAAGCTGTAATACCCACAGGGGTCGTGTAGCCTGAAGACATTAGGCTGTACTCCCCACAAGGGTTTTTGTAATCAGAACAAATTAAGCTGTACTACCGACAAGGGTCTTGTAGTCAGAACACAGAAAGCTCTGCTACCCACAAGGGTTGTGTAGTCAGAACAAATTAAACTGTACTACCCTAAAGGGCCGTGTAGTCAGAATACATTAAGCTGTACTACCCACGAGGCTCATGTAGCCCTAACACATTAAGCTGTACTAAACACAAGGGTCGTGTAGTCTGAATTCATTCAGCTGTACAACCCACAAGGGTCGTGTAGTGTTAACGCATTAAATTGTACTTACCAACAGGGTCCCGTAGTGTGAACACATTGAGCTGTACTACCCACAAGGGTCGTATGGTCTAAACACATTAAGCTGTACAACCCACAAGGGTCGTATGGTCTGAACACATAAAGCTGTACAACCCACAAGGGTCGTGTTGTCTGAACACATTAAACTGTACTACCCACAAGGCTCGTCTAGTCTGAACACATTAAGCTGTATTACCCACAAGGGTCGTCTAGTCTGAACACATTAAGCTGTACTACCCACAAGGGTCGTGTAGCCTGAACACATTAAGCTGTTATACCCAAAAGGG